TTCGGCCAGAGGCCCTGGGAGATACGAATCAAGTAGTCTTTACGATCAGGAGGAGGAGAATGAGGAGGAGGAGGAGGAGGAGGAGGAGGAGGAGGAGGAGGAGGAGGAGGACGGGTCGCGTAAACCCTTCGGAGACACCCTCCACCGCGCGCCCCCCTGCGCAGGACCCCCCCTCTGCCCACCCCTGGGCCTCCGCTCTGCGCCGGCGGCCCGGCGGCTGCCGCTGCGGGCGGGCCCCCCGCGCCCCTGGCCGCCTCGCGGCGGCGCGGGCGTGCGGGCGGGCACTGGCGCCTCCTCGGGCAAGGCCCCGGGGCCCGGGGAAGAGCGGGGGGGGGGAGCTGGCGGCGCACAGAAGGGGGTACCCTGAGATCCTTGTGCTGTATTTTCATTCGCTGCGGGCGTTTTCGCTCCATGTCGGGCCCCGGGATCCTCACAGATCGATCCGGCTCGAGGAATCACGCAGAAAGATGGGGTCCGGGGCTCTGGGCGTGATTTTTGTTACGATGTTGCAGTTTTTTCGCGACGTCGGATCTCAGGGTAGGGGGAGGGGTGAAGGCTTCTTAGAAGGAGGCTGCTTCTTAGAAGGGCCCGGCCTCACATCCACAGAGAAAGCCCGCGCTTTCTGAGAAGCAGGGGGGCTCCTAAGAAGCCACTTCCCCCCTCCCGCTACCCCCCTCTGCTCGTGGCCGAGGGAGGGGCCACGAGGAGAGGCGCGCGCAACCGACCCAGACACGCGGCGCCTCGCTTCCTGCAGCACGGGGCCCCCAGAAGTCCCCAAGCCCTTCCCGGGGGTCCCGCGTCTCATCGCGAGTCGTTCTGCCGCCGCCCCAGGGTGCCCGGCGGGGGCCCCCGGAGACCGAAAGCAGCCGGGGACCCCACGTCGTGAGTTCTGTTACGACGCGAGCGTGTCTGGGGGCGGGGGCTCGTCCACGATCTTGGCCGGCAGGCGGGGCGGGCCGCGTCGCAGGCAGGCCGCTCACGGCCGCCGGGGTCATGGAAAGCAGTGCCCGCAGCAGGCAGAGCAAGCTGAGCAGCAAAGCTCTTGACGTCCTGGCTGAGAGTCCGACGACGCGTTCCAGACAGCGCCCTTCGATTGCCGCCATCCGGGCAGGCCAGCATCCCAACGCCGTGAAACTTTCCAGTTGGTGTCGTCAAGGGGCAAGTCTATTCTGGACGCTTCGCTTCTCAATCGACCCTTCCAACGCTCGCAGACCAAGCTAGGGCTGGATTAGGTCGAGGTGGAGCGGCCCCAAATGGTGGCCCGTTCTCCCGTCATGCAGCTGAGCGGCCAGGCCTGTTGCCTTCTCCTCCTCGATCCTCGATGTTCGATCATTGAACCGCCTCTACCCTCCTCCTAGAGCCCCACGAGGTCCTTGAGCCCGCAGGTGCCGGGGCCACGCCCGCAGAAGTAGCCGCAGCCGCCGCCCTCGGGGCGCCTCGCGACGGCGCGGACTGGCGCTGGCGCCTCCTCCCGGACGACAGAAGGCCTCGCGGGGGGGAGGTCGGAGGAGGAGGGGGGAGCGGGAGTGCACGGAGCGCGGCGCATGATGGGAGTGCTTTGTCGCTTCCGTTTCTGCCCAGCTCGGGCCTCCTCGGGGTCTCCAGAATCCTCTGGGGGCCTCCATGCCTGGAACCTCTGGAGACTTCCGGGTAGGGAGGGGCAGGGTGGAGGGGATCGGGGGGAGGAGAGGGGAGGGGAGCAGCTGGAAAGGGCGAGTGGCGAGGAGAGGGAGGGGGAATGCAGAGGGGGGTGCGAGGGAGGCAAGGGGGGTGGGGGAAAAAGGGCCAGGAGGGAAGGACGAGATGGGGAGGAGGAAGGAAGGAGGATACGCAAAACTACGACGCACCTATCGCACGTGCAGAGTTCCCAATCGTCGCCATCAGCATTCTCATCCTCACTACCATCCAGCGCGCCCCTGCCGCGACACAAGCTGCACGGTAAGAGAAGAGGGGTGGCGGTCGGCGCTGTGCGCCTGCACACGCCACCCCCTCTGGTGGCCCCCGTCGGAGGGCCTCCAGCCCACTCCGATCCCACCAAGCCTCTGGGCGTGAGCAGGCGGTGAAGGGGGCTTGCCTTTCCGACTCCCTTCTTCAGCTTCGGGTGTGGGGCGTACTCATCACTGCTCCGCAGAAGCGAACACACCATCCCCCACTCGCCCAGCCTCCAGCCAGGAACCATGAGCCGCCCCCTGAGCCCCCCACACACACACACACACACACACACACACACACACACACACACACACACACACACACACACACACACACACACACACACACACACACACACACACACACACACACACACACACACGGCACGCACGCACGCATCAACTCACGCACGCAGCGCCGCACGCACGCACGCACGCACGCACACACCAAAACAACACACACACACACACACACACACACCACACACACACACGCGCGCACACGCACACGCACAACGCAACCACCCGAGCGCACACGCACACGCACACCGCACACGCACAACGCACACGCACACGCCAACCACACGCAACACGCACGACGCACACTCACACACACACACACACACACACACACACACACACACACACACACGCGACCACGCACGCACGCACGCACACACACACACACACACACACACACACACACACACACACACACGCGCGCACACACATACCCGTTCAAACAAAAAAAGACACGCGGCGGCAAAGTCAGGATCGAGAGCAGGACGGCGGGACACCTGCGATCACTTTGCACCTGTTTTCATGGAAGAAATGGCGAGGGTGCGAGCACGATTACAGTCGGACCAAGGCCAGAAAAAATGCCCCAAGAACATGAGACACTCCGCTGGCCCAAACTGAAGAACATTCGAGGGTGCCCTCCCCCAGAATGCACAAGAACGTCCAACAAACACGAAGAAGACGAGTGCACCCTCCCCGAACCGACCTCGATCTTGTACCCCGGTCCGACTGTATCCGCCGCGCGCTGCCCCACAATTCCGTTCAAAGCCCTGTCCATGCTCATTTTGCGGGCACGCACACTATAGACCATGCCGATCACCCCACCGCCGCTCTGCAGTGGCTTTGGGCGCGGATGGTCGGTGGGTGGTGACGCTCCGAGCGTGTCCAGGACTCGGGAGCCGACCCCGAGAGAGCACCAGCCGTGGCGATCGCCGCAAAATCAGGCGGAGAGGGAAAGCGCGCGGGCGGCCATGACTCCCACGCGGAAAGTCGCAAGAGTGCCCTGAGTGCCCCTGTCGGGGCCTGTTCAGCTCTTCCTGGTCCTCCTCCTCCTCTTCTTCTTCCTCCTCCTCCTGCTGCTTCTGCCCCTCCTCCTCCTCTGTTCCGCAAACGTGGAGGGGCTCGTCGTCCTTCTCCTCATCCTTCTCCTCCTCCTCCTCCTCCTCCTCCTCCTCCTACTCCTCCTCCTACTCCTCCTCCTCTCTCCTCCGCCCCCTCCCCCTCCCCCTCCCCCCTCATCCTCCTCCTCCTCCTCCTCACCTCCTCCTCCTCCTCCTTCCTCCTCCTCCTCCTCCTCCGCCTCCGCCTCCGCCTCCTCCTCCTCCTCCTCTCTCCTCCTCCCCTCCCCGCCTCCGCCTCCGCCTCCTCCTCCTCCTCCTCCTCCTCCTCCTCCTCCGCCTCCTCCTCCTCCTCCTCCTCCTCCTCCTCCCCTTCCTCCTTCCCTTCCTCCTCCTCCTCTTCCTCCTCCTCTTCCTCCTCCTGCTTCTCCTTGTCCTCTACCTCTGTGCCCCCTCCCCCACGCTCGCAGTGAGGTATGGTCAACCTGTGAAGTTGCGAGGCTCTCTGGGGACCTACCTCGTGGCCGCAAATCGCGACGGACACAGGACACCATGGCTATGGCCAGATCGACGAAGAAGACGGACAAGGAGGAGCACGAGGAGGGGAGGATGGGGACGACGACGAAGAGGAACGGGGATCGGCCGTCCAAGGCGTCCCGCGAAAGGTCATGCCATTACGTAGGAACCACGCCCAAACGCCAGGCAGACCTAGAATTGCTGCACGGCAAGTGGTACCAAAATCCAATTATCCCAGAGCGACCCTACCTAGGAGTTGGAGCCCCGAGGAGAGCAATAGTAGTAGTAACGGTAAACGCCGTCCTCCTCCTTCTCATCGCCGCAGGTGTAGCAGTAGCGACAGTAGTAGTAGTAGTAGTAGTAGTAGTAGTAGTAGTAGTAGTAGTAGTAGTAGTAGTAGTAGTAGTAGTAGTAGTAGTAATGGTAGTAGTATTAGTAGTATCAGTAGTAAGAGCAGCAGTCGTAGTAGCAGAGTAGGACCAGTAGTAGTAGCAGTGGTAGCGGCAGGAGTAGTAGCAGCAATCGTAGTATTAGTAGTAGTAGTAGTAGTAGTAGTAGTAAGTAAGTAGTAGTCGTATGTATAGTAGTAGTTAGTAGTCGTGTAGTAGTAGTAAGTAGTAGTCGTCGTCGTCGTCGTCCGTCCGTCCCGTCGTCGTCGTCGTCGGTCGTCGTCGTCGTCGTCGTCGAGTCGTAGTAGTAGTAGTAGTAGTCGTAAGTAGTAGTAGTATAGTATCGTAGTAGCAGAAGTAAGTAGTATTATCAGTAGTAGTAGGCATTACGATTAGTAGTTAGTAATATTAGTAGTAGTAGTAGAAGTAGTAGTAGTAGTAGTAGTAGTAGTAGTAGTAGTAGTAGTAGTAGTAGTGGTGGTGGTGGTAGTAGTAGTAGTGGTAGTAGTAGTAGTAGTAGTAGCAGCAGCAGCAGCAGGAGTAGTAGTAGTAGTAGTAGTAGTAGTAGTAGTACAGCTTAATACCTACATACACATCTATACATACATCCACATCTACACCTACAGCTACATCGACATGTACGCATGCATCTACATCTACATCTACATATGCATATACATCTGCATCTGCATCTACACCTACATCTACATCTACATCTACAACTACACTCACAGTTACATCTACATATACACCTACATATACACCTACATGTACATATACATCTACATATACACCTACATCCACATCTACACCTACACCTACATCTAAAACTACATCTACACGTTCGCAGTGGGTTTGCGTTTGCGTTGCCTTCCCTGTGCGTTGCGTTTGCGTTTGCGTTGCGTTGCTTTGGTTTGCCTTGCTTTGTGCTGTTTGTGCGTTGCTTTGCGGCTGATGCTGTTGCGGTGCCTTTGGTTTGATGCCATGCTATGCTAGGCTATGCTATGCTGCGCTATGCCATGCTATGCTATGCTGTACTACGCTATGCTGCGCTAGGCTGCGCTATGCTATGCTATGCTATGCTAGGGTATGCTAGGCTGCGCTGTGTTATGCTAGGCTATGCTATGATATGTCATGCTGCGCTATACTGTGCTATGATATGGTATGCTGCGCTATGCTGTGCTATGCTATGAGATGCTGCGCTATGCTATGATATGCTAGGCTATGCCATGATATGCTATGCTGCGCTATGCTATGCGATGCATTGCGATGCTATGCTGCGCTATGTCATGCTATGCTATGCTGTGTTATGATATGCTGCGCTATGCCATGCTATGCTATGATATGCTGCGCTATGCTATGCTGTGCTATGCTATGCTGTGCTGCAATGTGCTATGCTATGCTGCGCGATGCTATGATATGATATGCTGTGCTATGCTATGCTGCGCTATGCTATGCTATGATATGCTCCGCTATGGTATGCTGCGCTATGCCATGCTATGCTATGCTATGCAATGATAGGCTATGATATAATATGATATGCGGTGCTATGCTAATGCTGCGCTACGCTGCGCTGCGCTAAGCTGAGCTAAGCTAAGCTAAGCTAGGCTGGGCTAAGCTAAGCTAAGCTACGTTAAGCTAAGCCAAGCTAAGCTAGGCTAGGCGAAGCTAAGCTAAGCTAAGCTAAGTTAAGCTAGGCTAAGCTAAGATGAGATAAGCAACGCTAAGCTAAGGGGACGTAACTGGGGGAACCGCGGGGCGGATCCTGGGGGAACCGCCCGGGGCGAAGCCCACTGCCCGGCCCCTTTAAGATAGAGAGTAAGAACCCTTCTAGACAGAGCCTAGGTAGGGAACTTCGTAAGACAAAACAATGCAGGCGCGACCTAAGAGAAAGGGTTCCTCGCGCAATCCAGCGAAAGGTGAAAACCGATATTCGACATCATCCTATTAGAACAGCCACGGCGAAACAGCAGTGAAGGCCCACCAGGAGCTGGCAGAAGGACGCCACTTCCACGAGGAAGTCACTGCTACAGACGACCCGCTCCTCCTCCTTCTCCTCCTCCTCCCTGTCCTCCTCCTCCTCCTCCTCCTCCTCCTCCTCCTCCTCCTCCTCCTCCTCCTCCGCTTCCTACTCCTCCTCCTCCTCAGCCGAACCCTCCTGCTGTTCCTTCTACTCCCTCACAGGATGGCAGGTAAATGAAGAGACAGCTCTGAAAATTTGGTCCGTGAGCCAACACTCAGAACGCGAAAAGCCAATCGATGCGATAACACTGCCATGTGGGAAGTCCTGGGAGATCCCGTCAGCGGCAGGGGCCCGCGCTCTTGTATCTACCTGTGCTGACCGAGCTTGCACCTGGCTCTGACAGAGGAACGCGGACGGAGAGAAGCGGCGGCCAGATAACCAGAGGGGACAAAGGAGAGAAGTTGCCGATGAGCAGCCTGGATTTGAAAGACCCGCCACGCGCCTGGCATTCCAAGATCCCAGCAGGGACCTCTTTGACGGCTTCGCCAACCACATCGAGCTCCTCCTTTGCCGCGGCGCCTTAGGTGGAGGCCCCAAACCAATCTCTTTCGGTCGGGCAGCCCCGATCAGACCCGCACCGTGGCTCCCCTGGGGCCGTCAACAGAGCGAGACGGTGGAGGGGCAGGGAGCAATGGACCTGGGCATGGAAGGGATGCATGGAGATGAGGGAGAGGGGGCTAGGAGGCAACTACTAGGAGGTCTTCGTCGGAAGGATTAAAAAGGATGAAGCCCAATTGGGGGGCTGTTGCGCTGGAGTGGGCCTCGGCTTAAGCGGGATTAATACGGATTAAGCGGGACTAAACGGGATTAAACGGGATTAAGCGGGATTAAGCCGGATTCCGGACCAGGGCCAAATCAGAGTTTGACCTCCCAGGAGTTGCATCCGAACGAAGGGAAGCAAGGGGAGGGTCAGGGTAGGTGGGATGTATGAGTGCTCAAGCAAATATCGTTTCAATGCGATTCCCCCCACACAGCGCTTGCACTTCAGGGGTTCTTGCTTGCGTTTCTAAGGAATTGGAAGGGCGCCCCCAGGATCCGCAACGTTCCGGTCAGTTGCCGCCCAGCTGCCGCCCGTGGCCGCCTGCGGGGGGGCCCACAGGGATTCGCCACGTTCTGGCGCGCTGCTGCCCGTTGCCGGCCGTGGCCGCTCGTGGGGGTTGCCCCCAAAGGGAGTCGCCACGCTCCAGCCCAGTGCCGCCCGCGGCCGCCTGTGGGGGTGCCCCAGGCGGAGTCGCCACGCTCCGGCCCATTGTTGCCGCCCGCGGCCGCCTGTGGGGGTGCCCCGAGCATATTCGCCACGTTCCGGCCCAGTGCCGGCCAGTGCCGCCTGGTGGAGGTGTCCCGAGGAGTCGGCATGTCCTGGCCCGTAAACCGGCCGTCGGCGCGAAGGGGGGTGTCCCGCGGATGCGCGCGCTCTGCGAGAAACGACCGCAGAGGCGCTTGTGCATCAAAATGGCTTACACATCCACGGTGCCGGGGCTTCCTGTGCGGGCTTCGCGCTGGCAGACGTCGGTTCAGACTGGCCTGTCCGGGACTGGCGACGCAGGGGTTGAATGTAAAGCAGCGCCTTGGGCATGCGAATGTTGGCTGCCAATCACGAAGCGTGGGGGAAAAGAAGGTGGGGGGATACTGCTTGTCATTTGGTAACACAGATCACTGCTCTGTCTGGCATGCTGCTGCTGGCTTGAACCCACACCCAACAGCCCGAATCCCTACTGTGGATGAGGGAGGGTCGACTAAACCCACACGTTTGTTCCAAATTGCCTCAGACGGATACAAAGAGCTTCTTGTAGTGAAGAGAATGATTGTAGAGACTCGTGGCGAAGGGACTTAGGGCGGGAAGGTGTACTGCGAAATCGTTGATACTTCCTGAGCTTGCTCTGGTCATCCCTACACTCCTCATCCACATCCTCATCCTGTCTCTCCTCAGCCTCCACGTCCAACCCCCCCCCCCCACCCGCCTCCTCCTCCTCCTCCTCCTCCTCCTCCTCCTCCTCCTCATCATCATCCCCCCCTACGCCACCCGTCCTCCGCACTTCCTTCTCATCCTGGTCCATCCCTGCTCCTCCTCCTTCTGGCACGTCGCTGCGAACCGAGTCCGGACTCCTGATCGCCTACTCGAGGCTCTGGCCACCTGAACCCTTGTTAGGGGCACGGCCTGCTGCGCCTGCTCCTCGCTGATGCCTGCTCCTCCTCCTCCTCCTCCTCCTCCTCTTCCTCCTCCTCCTCCTCCTCCCCTCCTCCTCCTCCTCCTCCTCCTCCTCCTCTTCCTCCTCCTCCTCCTCCTCCTCCTTCTCCTCCCCCTCCTCCTCCTCTCCCCGTGCAGGCTCACCCGCCTCCCTCTCTTCAGCCGTGCTCTCAAGCAAGGCCCAGGGTCGACGCAAAAACCAGCCGTTGGCCACCTGCAGATCGGGACGCTGATGGGCATGTTTTCCACCACCACCACCACCACCACCATATGTTGGAGGGGGAGGGGGTCCTCCTCCTCCTCCTCCTCCTCCTCCTCTTCTTCGTCCTCTTCCTCGTCGTACTCCTCCTTCCCTCCTCCAGCTTATGGTGGTGGTGGTGGTGGAAAACAAGCCCATCAGACGCGGCTGAGCGCGACACCGAGCTTGGCCCCCGGCGAAGGCGCGGAGGCAACGGGAGCAAAAGACAAGAGCCTGCTCGAACCGAGCTTGAGCTGGAGTGGAGCGACTGGCCGGCGTTCGGCAGCCGCCACCGCAGCGCGACCCGAGCGACGCCCCGAGCGAAGGTGGCATTCGAACGTGTTTGAGGGAACCACTGGCACGATCACGAGTGCACATCTCATCCCCGTCGTCATCAATATCGAAGTCATCAGCTCCCTAGTTGGGAGTGCGGGAAGGGATAACTGCAGTGGGGCTGATCACTCAGTGAAAACAACATTTCTCGCTTCATTGCTGCATATGAAGCTCAGCGACGTCCAAAGCTGAAGGTAACAACAAAGCTAAGAGATGAATATGAAAACGGAAAGCAAGGACGGAACGCCAAAACTTAAGCACGACACCTGGCTGCGAAACAATCACCTGGGGCTACAAGATTGCAGCCAAAGCTGGAGCCGAATCTAAACCTGAAAAATGCGTGCGCCTTGATAGCATACGCTGGGTGAAACCATAGAAGTCGGTTGTACGACAATCCTTCGACATCCGCTTGAAGAGGGGAGGGTAACACGTGTGAGAAAATTGGCCGACGCCCACCCCTATATCCTCATCCTCCGGTTCCAAGCAAAAGGCTTTGACAGGGAGGGGCCGGGGAAGGGGGGCGGGGATATATATATATATATATATATATATATACACGAGCTGCCTTCAAAACCACCCTCGGACGCATCCAAAATGCATCAGATACCCTCCAGGGCCCCAGAAGCTCTGAGAGACCCCAAGGAAACTCAAAGAGGTCTCAAGAGGAAGCCCAGGCAGCCCCCCGAAAAGGATGTTTGATCGTATGGTCAGCCTCGCCTTACCGCTTTCGAACACATCCGAGAAGGCTCAGGAGACCCCGAGAAGGCCCCTAGACAGTCCGAGATGCCCGCAAGATGATGGCCCCAAATGGCCCAAGAGGCTCCCAACTAGCCTCCAAAGACGCCCCCAGCATAGTTCCAAGGCGGCCCAAGACCACCCCAAGACATCCCCAAGACTCTCCCACACGGCCACAAGACCCCTCCAAAACTGCCCCAAGACCGCCCAGGGAAGGCCAGAACGGGCCCAAGAGGCCCCAAGAAAGCCGCAGGAGAGTCCCCGCGGGCCCCAAAAGACCCCAGCAGGTCTCTCAGGAGGGCCACAAGACAGGCCCGAATGTCCTGCCACACACCTTCCAGGCCATCCCCATCACCACTTCTGCTCCGCTCTTACGGCACTAGCTTGCCAATTGGACGTTGTCTGTTCCATGCAGCCTATTTCCCTGTCGCGCTGCCCGCATTAGCCTGACCCTTACCTGGGATTCCACGGCTCGGTTGCAACGACTCCGACTTACGCTCAAACGTGTGTATGTGTCTGCGTGTTTGTATAGTTGTGTGGCTGTGTGTTTGTGCTTGTGTGTGTGTGTTTGTGTGTGTGTTTGTGCGTGTGCGTGTTTGTGTGGTTGAACGTTTTGTGTGTTTGTGTGTTTGTGCGGTGTATGTGTGTATGTGTGTATGTGTGTATGTGTGTATGTGTATGTGTGTACGTGTGTACGTGTGTACGTGTGTATGTGTGTATGTGTGTATGTGTGTATGTGTGTATGTGTGCATGTGTGTATGTGTGTATGTGTGTATGTGTGTATGTGTGTATGTGTGTATGTGTGTATGTGTATGTGTGTATGTGTGTATGTGTATGTGTGCTTGTGTGCGTGTGTGTATGTGTGTGCTTGAATGTTTGTATGTTTGTGTGTTTGTGTGTTTGTGTGTTTGTGTGTTTGCGTGATTGCGTGACTGTGTGTTTGTGCGTGCTGTGCGTGCGTGTGTTGATGTGTGTGTTTGTGTCTGTCTCTCTGTCTGTCTCTCTGTCTTTCTTTCTGCCTGCCTGCCTGCCTGCCTGCCTGTCTGGCTCAAGGCAGGACCGCGCCGCGCCGCGCCGCGCCCCTGGCGCGCCTCCATGCCGCATCAGATGCTCTGGGACGGGCAGCTGCACTCGCATGGACGTCGACTCGATCGGAGATGGCGGGGCCTCGCGGCCCTCGCAACTGCGAGCAGGTGTTTGGGCGGTGAGCGTCCAGCCGCCGACCAACCGACCCGCGAGCTGCAGGCACTGCGCGCTGGTCTGCGGCACCGGCGAGCCCCGGCTTGGCACATGGGGGGGGGGGCACCAGGACACACAAATAAATATACACAAATAAAAATATCCCCCATATTTTCCCATATGTTCTGGGTTTTTGTCTTCCCCCCCCACTTCCCATATTTTCCCATATTTTCTGGGAATCGTCGATTAATTGTGTCTGTGTGTTTTTTCCCCTCCTGAACATGGGGGGGCGAGGGCATGCTCACGTTGGACATGCGCATCGTGCCTCCAGGGGAGGCTGCCTGCTGGCGTCGATTTCCGGCCCGTCGGCATCACCAGCGCGGAGGACATCGAGGCGGCGAGGGCGAGGACGAGGGGGCGCCGCTGCACAGGCCGCGGCCGCGGCCGGGCCTGTGACCAGGCCAGCGTCTCCCTGACACCCAGAGTGGGATGCCCTCAGAATTCCTGACCCAGACTGGTGGGGAACACTTTCGTGGGACGACGCCTTGAAGATAGGAACGACAAAGTCCCAGATCGTTTTCGGCGGGTGGCTGTTGTGGAGGCGCGGCACAAAGCACTGGAAGTCTTGAAAGCAGCCCAACAGAACGGAGAGGCAGAGGCCGAGTGGACAGTCTTCTTGCTGATGGACATGTTGCTCCTGGCCAGGACCAGCGAGGCCACCACGTGCGCCGAACTGCTCGGAAAAACGTCTCGCCTGGTTCTGGGGCGGACAGTGGGCGGCGTTATGGGCTTCTACGCGCGCTGGCCGCCAGGCTCCGCAACGCACCCGGACGGAGACGGACAAGCAGAGGGCGGCAAGAGTGCACACCCTCGCAGCTGCAGGCGAGGAGGGCCGGGCGCTCACGGCAGCCACGAGCGCGCGGCTCGCCCCCCGCACCGAAGAGACGCTGCGGAAGGTCAAGGACTGCTTTCCGCCAGCGGCCGCAGGGGCAGCCGAGCCAGCGGCGGCGGCGGCAGCTGGGCCACCGCCCCCTGACGAGGATCTGCTCCAAGCGGTGCAGACCGAAGTCCGCCGCATCCTACGGCGACCAAAGCGGCTCACAGCACCCGGACTGTTCGGCGCCAGGCTCGAGCACCTGGCCACGGCGAGCTCTCGCAAAGACACCCTCGAGCTGCTCTCGGAGGCCGTCTCCTCGATCGCCTTCGGCTTCCTCCCGCAAGGTGCCCTCCAGGCGCTGCGGGTGGGCGAGCTGCCCGCTTTCGAGAACGGCGACGACGAGGTCCAGCCGCTTGTCTTTAGCTCAGTCCTGCGGCGCCTTGGGCTGCGTGCTCCGGTCCGCGTGCGGAAAGATCACCTCACGGCGGCGGCCAGGCAGCAGCAGTACGGCGTCGGCAGGAAGCAGGGGGCCGATCTGCTGCTGAGGAGCCTCGAGGCGCAAGCGCAGAAGAGGCGCACCGCCGTCTTCCTCAAGCTGGACTTGAAGGCTGCCTTCCAGACGCTGGAGAGGGAGCCGGCCATTCGCGCGATGGCTGAAAAGGAGCCTGCCGTGGCGGCGGACCTCGCCGTGTGGTATTAGGGCGAGGCCTCCCACCTCTGGCGCGACGCAGGAGGGACCTTGCGCAAGGTCCCCAGCAGCCGAGGTTTCGACCAGGGGTGCCCGCTCTCGGCAGCCGCCTTCTCGGTGGCGCAGAGCGCCGCGCTGGCCGACTACTATTCCGAGCTGCGCCGCTTAGACCCCGCCGCCCGCCTCTACTGCCACCTCGACGACACCTGCCTCGTCGTCGACAGTGGAAGCGCTGGCTGCGCTGGAGAGAGCCCTGGCGCCGTGGGGGCTGCGCCTGAACGCCACGGAGACGACGGCTTGGCCCCCTGCTGGGATCGCCGTGCTGCCGCCGCCCCTGCAGCGCCACCACGCGGCCTCCCTTTCGGTGCTCGGCAAGCACCTGCGGCCGCGCGGCGACACGGAGGACAGGCCCGGCGGCCCTCGGAACACCGGCCAACAGCCTCGCGCGGGCTGACCCTGCAGCGCCTGCAGAAGGCGGGGCTGACGAAGCAAGCCACAGGGGCTCTGCTGCGTACCTACGCGGGGGCCGCAAGCCAGCACGCGCTCAGGCTGGAGCACGCCACGAACGCCGCTGCCGCCGCCTACGACGGCTTCCTGGCGAACTGCTGGGAGACGCTGCTGCAGCGAGACTTCGACGACAACGCAAAAGAACTGCTGCGGCTGCCTGCGAGGCTCGGCGGGCTGGGCGCGCAGCTGGCGACCACGCGGCGCCACGCGGCCTTCCTGGCTTCCTGGGCAGGCGCGGCGGCCGAAGGCACGCGGGACCTCGGCAGCAGCACGCTGGCGGACTGCCTTGACTTGCTCCCACACACGACGAGCAAGTTGGAGGCCGCGCGGAGCGGCCTCGAACAGCAGGGACTCCTGCTAGCCGACGGCGGAACGCTAGCGGACGCCCTGGCCACCCCTTTGAAGCAAGGCTTGGCGGTGGAAAAGGTGCAAAGGACAAAGCACGCTGCGCTCCTGCAGCGTTCGCACCTCCCACAGCAAGCTGAACTACGTGGACAGGTGGGGCCAGGGGCTGGGGCCTTCCTCAACTACCTCACAAATGCGCTCTGCTCGCTGAAAAACGCCCTCTGGGAAACCGCAGCGCGCAGCCGGCTGCACCTCGAGCGGCCCGCCTGCATCCGCGGCGAGCTCGCGGGAGCGGTGGCGACCTGCTGCCTGCGCAACGCGAACGGGCAGCCCTGCGGGCAACCCCTGGACGGCCGAGGCTACCACGGTGCCACCTGCCAGAACGGCGGCGGCGTCCTGCGCAGGCACGCGCGGCTCGCGCGCCGGCTTGGAGGGCTGCTGCGAAGGTGGCGACACGAACAGCCTCTCTTCGAACAGCGCGTCCCTGAGTGGGACAGGCCCTCCTCCTCTTCCTCCTCCTCCTCCTCCTCCTCCTCCTCCTCCTCCTCCTCCTCCCTCCTCCTCCTATTCCTATTATTCCTCCTCCTCCTCCTCCTCCTCCTCC